GCTTGCCCAGTGGTCCAGATCATGGCATGGGGGCCCAGGGAGGCCATCTGTCCTTGAAGATTTGTAGACTTTGCCTGAACAAGACCCTCAGCAAAGTAGTGTTGCAGTTGAGCCTGAGTCATAGAATCATATCATAGAATCATATCATAGAATCATTGCATGGCTTTGGTTGGAGGGGACCCCAAAGACCATCCGGTCCCAACCCCCTGCCATGGGCTGGGTGCCAACCAGCAGGTCAGGCTGCCCAAGGCCCCATCCAGCCCGGCCTTGAATGCCTCCAGGGATGGGGCACAAGTCATGTTGTGGGCTTTCAGTCCGTATGCCAGCTGTGATGGAGCACACCAGGAGCGATGTCCTTGTGTGGAGCAGTGCCAGAGTCATGTCAGGTGAACAAAACCTGCTGCTTCTACACATCTTAAAGTGGTTCAGGGAAGAAGGTGAATGCGTATGAGTTACAGAGGAACCGAGTTCCTCCAGTCCCTGCTTTCTCTTTCTACCTCAATAGAAATAGACTACAGCTGCAGCATCTCTTCGGTCGGAAAGTAGCTTGGATTTTTTTCCATCTCACAAATATCTTGCTAGGGCTGGACTTGTTCTGATGGTGATTTAACAGTGGTTAATGCGCACACTGCTGCAGAACCGACATGTGTGCTGTGTCCTTCATACAGTAACTGGTGGCTTGCCAGGAAAGGGAGATGTACGTGTCTCTCAGTCAGACTGCAGCTAACCTCATCGCACAACACAAGCTCCATGTCCCAGACAAGTTACCTACAGCTCAAGTCACTTCATTGGCGAGTTATTTTTGCAGCACCTTTTCTTTAACCATTGGGATTGACCACATACCTGCCTCCTTCCTCTTTGTGCTAACCCACGCATCGCGCTGCCCACAGAGACACATCTACACAGCATCTCATTTCCCCATGCAGAACCACCCTGGGAGGCTGTGGAAGTCTCTCTCCTGCTTGTTTGACACGTGGGCAAGCCCAAATGGGCTGAGCTCCTAGCTTTTCCTCTCCAGACTGCAACACACAGCGTCTCCCATGGCAAAGCTTTCCAGAAACGTTGCTACTCCAATTCAAGTGTCTGCAGAGCCATCCCTGGCCCAAGTCACATCACTCTGCAGCCACTTGTGCTCTTCTGCACCCAGGGGAGCTATTTTAAAAAGACCAGTTCCTCCCACTCAATAAGGAAGGGAACGAGTGTTTCTTCTAAATCTCAAAGCTAATTCTTGAAAAATAAAACAAGGGAAAACTACCCTGGCTGCAGTCCCACCAGACCAGGGCACGAGGCATCACTTCGTCATGCTGAAATCCAAACAGTTCTCAAGCTGCCAGGTTCAAGTGGTTGGACTTTTTAACTGCCCTCCAGCTGCTCCCCTCCATGGAGGTGCTGCTCCCTGCACCTTGCCTGGACTCACCCCGTGCTGGTGCTGGTGTTGCACAACAGCAAGCCGGTGCTGAACAGCAGCCTGGCTCTGTAGCTGGTATCAGTTAGTGTGTGCAGAGACTAAAAATAGAGACCCTCCGCTCTCGCAATGACTCAGAGATGCAGAAGGGAAACCCGCAGGCTCTGTGCCTGGCTGTCCCTTGGGCTGATTGAAAAGTTGTCATCTAAAACTTTGTTTTGACACAAAACGGCTTTTTTTGCAAAACAAGCCAGCCAAAAAAACAAACCTCATCTCTCATCACCAAAGCTGCTGGGAAGACTTCTCATTTTGTCTAAGTTTAGAAGACATCTTGGCCAAAAATGTACAACACTACTTTTTTTTTTTTGTAATTTAGTTGGCAACTCCACCCAAACTATTTGCCTGCTAAGCTCTTTCTTGGGGACTTTTGTGAGCACATGGAATGACAGCACAAGTGAGAGATGTGAAAGTCCCCCAAAACTTTCATGGGAAATATAGAATTCTTTCCAGGCAGCTCTAACTTCATCCCAGGAAGAAAATCTATCTGCTGGCTTCGATGAACACCCATGGGTGTGATCCTTTGGTCCTTTAGCTCCCTCTATCTTGCCCCTGGCTCAGAGGTACTGATGGGCAGGTTCTGGCCATGCCGTGGGTGATGGTGTTCTGGAGACTGAGATTCCAGATGGGGAAAAAAAGGAGAACTGGGATCGTGTGGGGAGCATCACTTCGTCCATATGCAGAGCGGGCCCTAATCCCTGTCCCTGTGCTCATCTCCAGGTCATTTGGTCTAGCGGTCGAGCAGTGGGGCAGGAGGTTGTGTCTCTGCCCTTGGAGGTACTCAGAGCTCAGAAGGACTAGAGGTTGGACTAAAGACTTACAGAGATCCTTGCTAGCCTTAATTTTTCCAGCACTCCAGGTTCTCATGGCTAGCAGAGTCAAGCAGGGATACGGTGGGCTCGTGAAAGTGGTGCTGAGCCCATTAGCTGAGCAGCAGAGGGGTCACAGCACCAGGCATTAACCCTACCTGCTCTCCAGGCCTCCTCTGCTTTCAGCCCCAGTTGGACTCATTTTGTCCTTCCTTGTTTGGAGGGGGGGGGAAAGTGGCTGAGCTGAAATGCTCTACACAAGAGTCACAGCTCCAGGACAAAAGCACCTTGTTCACAAGGCGTTCCCAAGCCACGCTGCCAACTCCACCTCTGCAGAGAGCTTGGGCACCAAGCCAGGCTCTTCCTTTCCATACCCAGTCCCCAGCAACTGAGATGGGACAGCCCATGTTGGACTGTGGCCGTGAGGGTGCTTCCTCATTGCACGAACAAGGCTGTGAAGGTGCAACTCCACTGACTTGTGAAGGCCTGGATGCTGCACACTGTGGAATCCAGGCTCCAAACAGAACTGCTGCCTCAGGTGGTTTGCTTGGTGTCAGCAATCAAGCATGCACTGATAGCAGAACGGTAGCACGTAGGGTGTCTCATCCTGCATTGCATGGACCCTGAAAGCATCCTCACTGCCTTCTCTCTGAGGGGTTGGAGTTTCATGCTGGAAGCATGATCTGTAGGGGTGACTGCAAGCAGGATCCTGTCTCAGCCCAGCTCAGCACCACAGCTGGGAGGAATCTGTGGCTGGGGATGAGCGGTGGCACTGCCCTGGGCTGCCTGCATGCAGCTCAGAAAGCACAGCTGCAGCCACAGCTGGAGCACGACACCAGCTGCCACAGGAAAACAGGCATGTCTCTGTGCCTTGTATAGGGCAAGGGGAGCCAGGGAAAGTTCAAGAGCAGGTCAAGAAGACAGCGTGATCCCCAGCACTGCACATAGGTTACAGGTGTCCCCTCGTGGCAGCAGTCACTGCTCCCATGGCTTTGGTATGGGCTTTGTCATCTCCTGCTGAGCCTCAGCAAGTCCTTCGGGAAGTGATGGGCTTGTCTCTGAGCTGGTACTGCAGCAAACATTACACAGATGCAAGAGATAATTCACTTCTAACTTAGTCCCCAGGACTGCGTCCTAACCAGGACTTTGAGCATTTGTTCCAAGCCATGCCTCCATCTGTGGATGCCCCCCACAGCAGCAGGTCAGGAGACGTCCCTGGGCCCCACACACCTCTCCCTGCAGACTGGTTGTCACACAGAGAAGCAAGACCCATTCCCTGCCCTGGATGGAAAGACCACAACCCGACAGCCTGTGGACACTGTGGACCGATAAACATTTCCTTCTTCACAAAGCAGAGAGGACTGAGAGTCTCCCACCCCATTGCTCTGCACACCCACAGCAGGACAAAGGCACTGCACAGCTCTGCAGCCAGGGAATACAGCCCCCAAACATTTTTATTCAGCGCAAAAAGCCATGTCCTATTTCCTACAGCCACCTCTGGCATTTCCACCAATACCACATTCACTGTGAGAAAAGTCTCTCTCTGTTAATACTGATACTTGAGTTGGTGGAAAACACTGGGAGGTTTTCCCCTGTGAGATATAACAGCTCTGTTTTGATCTGAATCAAGATTTTAATTTTATTCTGCAAGATTTTGGAACTTTACCTCCCCATATCCAGGCTGTTTTCCCTTCCAATCTGCCATCTCCCCAGGTTCACTGTCTGAAATTCATCAGTACAAGGCAGGATTCAGATTCCAAGCACTGCCAGCTGCGTTTTAAATACTGCATTTTTGCTGAGTTACAAATAACAAGAGTGGATGTGTGAGAGTCTTCTCCAAAACACAGCCCATCGTGATCGTGGTGAATAACAGTGCAGAAATGTCACTGCTCCCACACGCCAGCCCATCATTAAATGCTTCCACTTTCTTCAGTGAAACGACAGAGCATTCATTGATGCTCCCAGTGCTTCACCATGCACTCCATCTTCATCTGCCTCAAAGCACCAGCTTGGTGCAGGATGCAGAAGTGTCCCTGTCAGATCAGCATCTCTGCCTGAAACACACTTGTGAAAGGTGAGAACACGATGCCAGCAGAGTGCATTGCTCCCTCTGCAATCTCCATGGGTCTGATTAATGATAACGTTGTAGAAATTAGGCTGTGTGCTCTGTGTGCTCTTTGGCTTTGTTGTTTTGGTGGAGGGGCTTCCATTTTTTTCTTTTTAAATAACTAACAGCAGGAGCTTCTGGGCACTGGCTCATGAATGTATTCTTCCTGGGTCTGAAAAAAACACTCCAACAGTGTGAGAGATAAAAGAGGAGAGCAATGAGTAACACCTACAGAAGGTCTTATGGGTGTAAGTTAGGAGACAACTATTTCTATTCACAGGAAACCAGGATGTTGCAGGGAAGAACTTTGGTAGGAACCTTTGGCTTCTGCCAAGCAGCTGATGACAGCTTCCTGTGGCTGTTCACCAGATCTCAAAGTGACCCCACATGCAGCATCCCCATCAGGACCAGCAGATAAGCCCACTCCCTCTCCTAAAAATGCCCCAAGAAGCTCAGAAGCTCTGATTGGTGTCTCTGAAGCCATAGAATCACAGAATGGGTTGGAAGGGACCTCAAGGATCACCAAGTTCCAACCACAGGTAGGGCCACCAACCTCCAGGCTGCCCAGGGCTCCATCCAACCTGGTTGAACACCTCCAGGGTTGGAGCACCCACAGCCCCTCTGTACAGCCTGTTCCTGCACCTCAACACTCTCTCTGTGAAGAACTTCCCTTCTGTGCATGGCTTCCCCACTGGCCCATTGAGCTTACAATCCCAAAAGCCTTCGAGTGCTGCTCACTAGTGCAACAGTGCCAGTCCTCCATTCTACTCTTTCTATACCAATGCCACTAGCAGAGAAGAAATGTGATTGCATCAGCACAGAGAAGCTGAGATGAAGAAGTCTGTGGCCACACAGACTGGACAAGCAACAGTATTATTTGGCAACGGTCACATTCTGGCACTGAGTTTTACTGGCTCTACCATTTCCAAGACCTGCACTTCCATCCATAGGCGACTCATGCATTTAGTAATTGCACTGGTGGCAAAGGCCCAGCCTCCAGGATGTTGGTTCAGACACCCAAACACTCAGCCACTTCCTGTTTGGATGTGCTAAAATTATTTACATCGCTGACAGAGTGGTGTTGGTCGAGGGAAACAAAGCGTTATTGTAGAGGAGGCTGAGAGCCACGTTGTGTACCCATGCACAATGGAAAAAAAGCAGAACAAACTGTCTCTACCTCCACGTCCCAAGAGCAGCACACACACAAGTTATACATCTCTGCCCTTAAGGCACTGGGTAGTGACTATGTCTGAAAGCCGGGCTGAGTTTTTGTCTCATCACCTCTCTGTATGAAACATCTGGCCCTTAATTTGCAAAAGCCAGTGCTGCTGCTGAGTGAAAGGGCAGAATGATCCCGCTTGGGCTGACTGCTTCTGGGGAGAGTGGTGATGGAGGGAGGATGATACCCAGGGGAGCAGTCAGAACTCCTTGCTGATGAGCTGCAAATGCTGACACATCGTTTGCCCATTCAGCTGTACCGGGCTGTGCACGTGGACAACGCTTCCGTGGCTGCTCCCTTTGGAGAAGAGAGATCAAGAAAAACTTACAGAGTCTTTCTGAGGAATCATCCCTTCCATCCACAGGACCTGAATATCTGATAACGCCCCAAATATCTGACTCAGGGCCCACACCTTCCCTAACCCCCAGATTCACACCAAAAACATCAGACCCACCCTTCCATCTCTTCAAGCACAGGGTTGCCCTGGAAGCTTCACATCCCACCTCCAAAATATGAACAATTTGGCCTTTCTTCTGTTTTTTCAAACCCTTACGAATCTATTCCCAGTGTCTAGGAAGGCTGATGAGTCAAGAGCCTTTCCCCCCAGTGTCTGGACCAGGGATGTTTATGACACAGTTGCAGATGGATTTACCTAGACCGCCTTCTGTTAAACTGAGATGCCATTACACACGCAGATCAGGATCTGCAAAAGTGACTGGAGATCTTGCTGCCTTGGCTTTTCATGCCCTCCTCAAAAAAAAGAACAGCTGAGCACCTAAAAACGAAGGCAACCACGTTTCTCTGTCCCTCTGAGAAAAGCCTTTACCAGAGGGCATTTTCCAAGCCCAAATCAGGCGAGTGCACAGCATAACCTAAGGAGTAAAGGCAAATCACAAACAGCAAATCAAAAAAGTAGGCTTTGAGTCACCCCCAGTAACAGAGGCTGTCAGAATTTAGGTCACAATTACATTGCTTTTGTAGGCGCAAGAATGTAATCTGCTGCCCACCTCGGTGGCTGTGTTGAGACAGCAAAGGCAAACGAGTCAAAAATAGTCACAATCTTATTTTTTTGACACCACATTTAGTAGTGTTGGGATATCTGTTGTGGCAGAGCAAACTTGCAAAGCCACAAGCTAGGCATGGCTGCCCTATAGTGAAGTTGAAAATTGATTCTTGCAATGTATTTTAAACCTCAGGTTCGCAGTTTATGGCATCTCAGAGTACTCCACATTTGAATGTACTTTTTGGTTTTATCATCAGACAGCAACCTGCCAGGCAAGCAGTGATCATAAAGAAAACCCCATTTGTGTTCCTGCAGAACTCCCATCTGCTCTGCTCATTTGCTTGTTTGAGTTTGACACATTCCCCTTCTGCCTGCAGGATAGTCACAGCATTTCGTAACCCTGAAGGAGCTTATATTGCCCTTATCCACCTGCAGTGCCCTTCACAGCTCTTATCCACACCCACAGAACAACATGACAAGCAGCTCTACCAGCCAAGAGCCTTTCTTCCAGCAACTTCCTCTTCATTCCATCAGTCTGGGGGCTGCACCATCCTAAGCACTATCACATCCCTACCCAGCAGGTTCAAAACCCAGGAGCCAGGTCAAGCAGTTAAGCCAAGCACTGGCTGTGCAGAGCTCCTTTGCTCAAGACAGCAGAGAGAAGCCAATAGGACCCACAGCTCCCCAGGGCCTGCTGCTGTTGCCATCCACTGCCAAATCTTGGCTGTTTGCATGAATAGGAAAGGAAAACCAAGCGAAGCCTGAGAGCAGCAGCTCACAAGCAGGAAAGTCTCTGCATGGCATTCACTGTGCTTTCAGCTCTGCTGCAGTGCTCACAGGACCCGCTGATGTGGAGCAGCCTGGCAGCCCAACTTGAGAAAAGTTTGGGAAAGGAACTGGGCTTGGGCAGGGGATCCAAACATTTGGAGCTGTTTGCTGAAAGAACGTGCAAATAACAGCGACTGAGTAAGAAATGTAGTAATTATGCAGCGTGTTGATTAGAGAGAAAGAGGTTATCAATCCATTAGACAGGGCCAGCAAAGACCCCAGTAAAGCACTGGGGAGATGCAGTGGGGACAAAGCTGCACATATAGCCACTCTGAAATCCAACAAGTCCAGGGCTGAGGAGCAATGCAAGGCATCCCATCCTGCTCAGGCCCAGGCGCCACGTGCAGGAGTGTGCAGAAAACCCAGTCCTCCCATAAGAACACATCCAGAGGCCAACGCACTGCCAGCCCTTGGCTCTGGCAGATATTGCAGTGTTACCCCCCACTTGGCCAGAGCACGGGCAGATTAGTGCTGCTGGGCCTGCCCGGTTAATCTGTGCTCAGTATCTTTATCCTTCCTGCCTAAAGATATCCTCCCTCCTGTTCACCTGCACCCACCAGCTGGGGGGAGCAGGAGAGACCACGAGCCTGGGGCATCCCCACAGCACCTCAGCCATGGGGCTTCATTAACGTGTGCACAGGCAGAGGGGCAGCAAGCAGCCCCCAGTCCTGATCCCACAGAGAGGGACTGCAGGCTCCTTCATAGAATCATAGAACCACAGAATCACAAAATGGTTTGGATTGGAAGGGACCTTTAAGATCATCTGGTTCCAACCCACTGCTATAAGCAGAGACATCTCCCTCTAGCCCAGGTTGCTCACAGCAGCATCCAGCCTGGCTTTGAATGCTTCCAGAGATGGGGCAAACATGACCTCTTGATGCAGCCCAGGGTATGGCTGGCCTTCTGGGCTGCAAGTGCACATTACTGGCTCACGTTGAGTCTTTCATTAACCAACATCCCCAAATCCTTCTCCTCAAGCCATTCTCTGCCCAACCTGTATCTGTGCTTGGGCTTCCTGGCACCAGGCTGCTTTCAGGGAGGGATTGCTCTGCTCTGCTTTGCCAGGCTGGGTGGGTTCCGGGCAGCCTAAATTGGTGGCTGATCTAGTGATTGACAACCATGCCTGTGGAGGTTGGAGCTAGACGCTCATTGAGGTCCTTTCCAACCAACCACTCTGTGAATCTCCAACAGCATCAGATGGAAAAAGAAGAGCTGTTGGGTGGCAGTGATGGGCTGACCTGGGCAGAGCAGCATGGGGAGATGTGGAAGGGCCACTGCAGAGCCATGTCTCAGAGCTGGTGTAGATGAAGGACATGGGTCCTGCAGCAGGCTGCTGGCCTTCCTCACCTTCAGAGGCACCGTGTCCAGTGCAGAGCCACTTCTGTCCCTCCCACACAGCCAAAGCCCAGGGCAATGCTGCTCTCCAAGGATGTCATGTCAAGTATTGCACCTGAGCACCAACTCTGCTGAAAAGAGCTGGAGAAGCACCTCCAGTCATGGAGCACTTTTTGCTGAGAGAGGAGCAATCCCAGTTCTCCCTGCCATCAGGGTGGTATTTTAGGAAATCCCTGTTCAGCTTTCCAGGCACATCATCTGCTTAAATACTGACCCCTCTCCCATGCATGTGCTCTGTACCCACCTGTGCTCTCCATTCATTTTGCAGCTGGTGGAGCTGAGATGTACTCAAGGTTCACTTCCTGATGTGCTTAAGGAAAAGCAACATAGGTTGCCTGGGTTTGTCAGGAGAACTAAAAACTGGAAAAAAAATGGGTACTCAGACTTTCTGGAAACCAAAATGTCAGTGTCCTCTAAGAATTCCTTCCTGGATTCGTTTCCTGGTGGAAGAAAGCAATAATAAAATCCACATGTAATGTATTCAAAAGAGAATAACCCATAAAGCTGAGTAAAATAAATCAAAGATCCTGTAACAAAACTCTTGCAACTCCTCCAGACAATTCTCATCTTTCATTTCCTTTTCATCTCCTTACAGAACAGTAACATTCTTGCAAAAGATTCCTGTCCACTCAAATTTGCATTTTTGACTTCAATTAAATAAAACGGTTGATGAGAGGAAACAACACAAGTTTAGAAGAGCTTAGTGGAGACTGCTTGTTGCAGCCATTTCATTTCAGGCCATTTCACATCAGGGATTCACACATCCTCTCCTCTCTCAGGAATACTTTAATTTGGTTCTCTCTCACTCTTTTCTCCTCCGCTTCCAAAGCCAATCTCTTCCAGCCTGACAGGATGCAGCTGGTCTTTGTGTTAAGGTAAACTTGAAGAAAAGCCTATTTAGCTTATGCTCGGGGACAATCTGAGGGATTTGTGCAATTTGAGTTCCGTTTGAGCTACCAGAGATATGGCAATTAGAGCCAGACAAACTGGGAAGGGGCTGCAGGTCCCCATCGCTGCCCCTGTGCATCTGCTGGGAGATAATCCAATGTGTGCACGGGGCGAGAGACTCTGCTCCCATGAGAATCCACATGCCTGCAGCTCTTCTGGGGAAGAAGAGGGTTGGAAGGGGACGTGAAGAGCTTTAGCTTGAGGGTTCAGGAGAGGCGAGCCTGCTCCAGAGAAGAGAAACCAAGGCAGGGAATGGTAAGCAGAAAACCAGGAGGACAAGAATAACCAGGGCTTCTGCACCAGCCCCTGAGCCTTGCAAGCACACAGTGAGCACCCAGCCCAGGGATTTATTGGAAGTAACGAGGCAACTGGTAGCAGTGCTGCTGCTTGCAGCTCCAGCAGCGTGGGGTGTGCTTTGCTGGTGTGTCTGCTGCTGGAAAAGCCTGGCGGAGATGCCTGCTCCCTGCAGAGCAATGGGAAGGGGCTCTGCCCCAAATCTGAGTGCTCCCAGACTCCCCGGGTAGCACAGAGAATGCACATCTGAACATCTCTACTGGTCTCACCACCAACTCAGAGAGCACTGATATCATACGACAAACAAAGAGCTGGCCTGGCTCTCACACCTCAATTAGAGATACGTGACCCTCTAATTAACTCCTGGTCATGACTGTATATTTCTGTTGAGTTACCAGCAATTTTTGAGAGAAACTCCTCAAATCACCAGTATGGTGGAGCTGAGATGGGTATGGGGCCATCCATACCTCAAGCATCGTATGAAAACCAGAGAGGAGATGAGGAAGCCAAGCTCTCCAGCTGAGCTTAACGGGGGAAGTCATCTCCAGAAAACAGCTCTGCTCCCAGCGTAGTGCCAACCTTCACTTCCAGCACAGGAGGATTTCTTGCACCATAGCCTTTTCCCTGTCTTTGTGGTGCAACCAGACAGACCTGCATGTAGGTCACTGCCTTTGACACCCCTCCCATATGACATAAATGGCTTTGCTGACCCTAACGCTTCGGAGCTTATGGGTCCTGATCCCACTGGTGCTGGGACAGCTGTCCTGCTCATTTCCTGCTGGCAGGGTCAAGTGAGAAAAGCAGCATAGGAGTTTAGAGAGCAGAATGGCTCTGGGGCCTTATCCTGGCTCCCATCCGCCACAAGCAGAGCACAGCAGGGTGGCTGTGCCCTACACTTTCTGCAAGGCACCATCTCTGCTTCTTCCCTGGCTTCTCTGGAAGCAGGAAAGTCACACGTTGACCTATGAGCAAGTGCTGAGTGAGGGCTGGGCAACACACACTGACTGTGTCTGCCTGGAAGCCAACAGGTAAGTCAAGAATTTCCTCAGAACATGCCTCACACCTTGGAGTGCAGCGAGCCAATGCGTTGCAACACCTCCTACAAGCTCAGAAGACGCATTTTAAAAGTTCTTAGGATAGAAGCACTTCTAGGCCTGTTGCATAATCCAGATAAGCAGATAAGCCCGCAGTATTTGCACAACATTGTGTCCCTTCTTTGGCCTTGTTACTGGTCTCATTTTGCAGGGCTTAATTCAGAGGATCTGATAGATTGAGGACACCTTTCAGGTCATCTGTTCCCTGGGAGGTGGCTCTGACCCAGCTCTAGCGTTACAATGATGGGGACATCTTGCTGACAGCTGTACTTAATGCATTGCAAATCTGTCCCCCAAGACATTTATGAAATGGTGCTATGACACCTGCAGAAGGTACTTGGAGAGCTTTTCTTGGAAGGATGATGGCAATGCAATGCAATGCAATGCAATGCAATGCAAAACCACCGTGGGAAAAGAATCAGGACCTGCCAGAGACAAAACAACCTTTGCACAAACACAGATGTATGTGGGCTGGGTACATTCCCAATCAACTCTTGACTTGACCCAAAGGGCGCATGATGTGGGGGCTGAGCAGTAGCAGGTCTCAGGTGTCAAGGAAATGGATGGGGTACAAGCAGATGCATTTACTGAGCACAGACATCGTGTAGGGTCTGCTAGGAAGTATCCTGCTATGCTAATGGTCTTCTCTGGCACTTTTCAGAAAGCCTGAAGGGAAGTCAGAGCACAATCTTCACAGCAAATGACTGGCATCAGCTGGCCCTTCCTTTTGGTGGGCACAGGCTGCAATCTGCCAGCAGGCAGAGATGCATGAGATGCAGAGATGTCTGGCCAGCACACCAGGAACCACGCCATGCCAACCAGCTGGCCTTGCACTGTGTGTGTTCTGCAGGCAGGTCCGTGCCTCACAGCACAGATCCCTGTGAGAATGGCTCCTCTCTCCCTTACAGACTGCTTTGATTTGCTCCCAGGATTCAATCCTTTGGCTGTGTCCATTCAAAAATCCCCTCTGGGGTGCTCACAGCCACTGTGTGGGACTCGTATGGAAAACATGCATCACTGGCAGGAACATGGGGTCAAGGGACAGAGTGAGCAGAGCCAGCTCAGCCCTGCTCCCTGGGTGAGTCACTGCTATGCTGATTGTAGCAGCACTAAGAGGAAGAATGGATGCCAGGACCTGGGGAAGGGTTTTCCCTGCTGTGTTGCGTGCTGCTGCCAGGGATGGGGACCTTACACCTGCCCATAAAGGCACGTGTGCTGCCCTTTCCTCCTCCATGTTAGCCACGAACCACTGCTTCTAATTGCCTTGCTCCTCACTGCTCTGCTAGGCAGCAGAGCATATATTGGCTTTGCCAGGTGAATGGCTACAGCCTGGCCAAGAAGCTCCAGTGTTCATACCCCTGTCAGGATTGCTCCCATCCCCACATGGACCTCTTCCATTCTCCATAGGCATAATGTGTTCCTGGAGAGACATTTTGTCCTCTTCACCCAGCCTAGAACAGCACCAGCAGGAACCTGCAGAGATAAAGGAAGGCAGCCTGACTCATTTCTCAGGATGAGAGGAGGGAGCAAAACAGGGCTGCCTCATGTTATGGTGCAGATAGCTCCCCATTTTCCCCCAAAATCTCCTCCTAGGGGTGTAGCACCAAGTAGCCAAGCAAAGACTGGTCAGAGAAGAAAGGGAGGAGTTCCCTAAATGATGTAAAAGCCCTTCCATTCATTGCTCTTTTCAAAATCCATGCCTGGATTATTTTATTCTCAAATACTAATTTTGAATTTCCAGTCTTGAGCTGTCCAAATAGGGCCATGCTGGAATAGCAAAGACCATTTGTTTTCCTGAGGGGGAATCTAGGAATTTGTTTCTTTTCTTTCGACATCAGAAAGTCAGATGTTGGATTTCTGGGGGGAGAAGAGCAGGTGATTTTGTAGTATTGAAAGCACCAGGAAAGCACATTCCCATTGCCTCAGTCATATCAAAATAATCAAACATGCCTGTTTCATTCAAAGAGGTGAAAAAAATAAAAATAAAAAAGAAGAAGAAAAAAAACAGCAGGGAGAAAACATTCAGCCCCTGAAGTTTCAGTGCTCACCAGGGAGGGTCAGATGAAGCTCACAGTCTGCATGTGGGTCTTAACAAGTCCTGCAGGAAAACCAAGAAATGTCAGATGTGACCTTCCTGTCAAACCGAATGTGAAAAACAAGGAAGCCACGCTAGGCAGGCTTTTTAAGGAAGCAAAAAAGGACACAGCCCGTTTATTTTTCCTCTGCAGATCCTCTCTGAGGTCACTGTACTGTTGTAAACTATATCTCTGGCAGATAACAGAGTTTATTTCTGGCACTCTGCAGCATTAGCCCTGTGTAGGACTAAATTCATCCACAAGAGGAGCAGAGCCTTGGAAGACAAGCAATGAACCTGCAGTTGGCCACGGTCTGAGCATTTAATCACGGCCACGTGGTCCCAGCACACCCAGACCCCTAAGACACAGCATCCCCAGCAAACCCTGGGGGTTGAATCCCAATTTAAAAAGCCCAAATCTGTGCACAAAGGAGCCAGAGATTTGTTATTGCTTTCCTTTTCGAGGATCTAGTTTCCAGCCCACAAGCATGGCAGGGTGCTAAGATAGTCTTGTGGCAATTGCCCTCTACAGGATGCTCCTTTCCAAAGCCCCTGAGGCACATGGGCTCATTTCATGTTTTACAGGTTTCTCCCGAGCTGCGGGAGACCCATCCCATAGGAGACATCCAGAAGGGGATGTCTGAGTCACCTAAAGGAATCACACAGCACAGCCAAGACAAGATGGTCACGGAGGTGACCTGAAGTCTCCAAGGTTGACGGTTGTCTGCATCTCAGTGGTTACTCGAAATCCAAAAGTCAAAGGATAGCATGGGCTTTATGCACTGTTTGCCAGGACAGGACAGAAAGAGGTATCTGGATAGAAGAAAGGATTGTGTCCTGCACTTCCCAGCTGACCTACCTGTTGACCACGGTCACCTCTGCCTGCACTGTCATATTAGCTTTCATCTCCAAGTTTTGGTCTCTCCAGCTGTCAATATTTATTAAGAATATTTGTGAAGACAAAACCTGGGACTCCTCCAGTTGGAGAGGTTTTTACGATAGACAAGTAGTAACAAGATACACACTGCTCATTTTGAGGGGGCCAGAAAGCTGCAACAGGTGCACCACGGGCATGAAGCTTCACCATAGAAAGATTTGGACCCCCAGTGGGAAATAACAACAGTTTGTTGTCTGGGCTGATGAGATACAAATGGAAAACGACCAAATGGAAGGAATGACAAGGCAGGGACAATGGTGCTCTGAGATTCAATAGCCAGCACCGAGGTATATCCTCATATTATGGGGTAGCTCCACGTCTTCCTCCTGTGGCCATGGCCATACTTTTCAGCAGAAGCCAACTCATCGTAAGCCAAGCCATAGCTCCCACACAACCAGAGGTGACATTCCTGCTGCCTGCAGAGGCCCAGCAACATGCTTTGCTCCAGTCACATTGCAGAGTGAAGAGTTAAATGCTGTCCCATGGAGCACAAGAGGCAGCTCCCAGTTGCTGCCACCTGCTCTCATTCAGACGTGACTCTACGTGAGCACTACTGTTATGCAGTGTTCTAAAATGAGTTCTCCATTTATTCCCTCTGACAACACCAGAATTGCTGAGATTGTCTCTAATGAAGGAGATGAATGGTGGAGCTGTGAGGGTGCGCACATGAAGCTGGGCTGGATGGAGCTCATGGTGAGGGAAAGCATCAGATCTGAGGAGAGCATCCTTGGGGAGGATACAGAAGGAAACATCCTGGGAAAAGCCTCACGCGTGGCTGCTGTGCTCATCCAGCCCAGCCTTATCTACTGATCTGCATTCCCATGCAAGCAGAGTATGCTCAAGAATGTTCCCTGTTTGCAGCATATTTGCTTCTCCTCAGTAAACTTCCACTGTCCTGGAGCCACACTGTGTAGTTTAGCAATCAATCAGCAACATGAGCTGAGAGCTGCCCCATGAAGCCCCAGGGGCTCTGTCTGACTGTCTGCACCAAACCCGGGTAAATGTGGCCCAACTGAAATGTGCTGTTGCAAATGGGAGTGAACAGAAATTGCAACGGCTGGTGGGAAAAAATCCAACCTTCATTCAAAGTCTGGGGCTGGGGAGGTCTATTTTTATAAACGTGGTGCATTGTCCTGCAAGAAGGAACAGTTTCATGGTTCAAAAATCACTCTTCGTTTAGAAATTTCTGGCAACTTAAGGTTTGGTTTTTTTTCCTCTCTGTAAATTGGAAGAGGATATAATGTTTGTAGGTTATCCAAAACAAATGCTGAATTAATTCAAACCAAGTATTTTTTAAATGGCCTCTTCCATGAAATTTTCAATCATTTGTCCTAATTCAATAAGGAAATGCCTTCAGATACTCATAACCTCATGGGATGGAATGTGAGATCTAGTGAAAATCATCTGATAATTGCTCGCCTAAATCACTTGGCAAGTCCTCATGAAAAAAACAAGTCAAAGAGAACCAAGAGGGGAAATGAAGCTAAATGCATGCCAGTGAACTCAGCCAGCACAGAACTGCCTGGTCTGCAAGGCTTGGAGACTATCGTGAGTCATGGGCTTTTCTACAGGAGAGTGTTTCTGTTTCCTTCCTCATTTCCCCTTTTCTGGTTCATGCAAATGCAGCTTTTGTGTCCTTCCCCTGCCTATAGCTTGCTTTCTGGAAGTCCTGGCTGTGCAAACAGCTGCAGCTCCTCGCTGGGATGCATAGAAGACACAGAGGAGCCTTTAGGGCGGGTGGTGGCATCAGGGACAGGTAAGGCTTAGGAAGGAAACAGGATGTGATGGGGGCAGGGGACGCTGCACTGCTGCTTTTCCTCTGAGCTGTCTGAGGCCCACCTCTCAGGCACTTGAGTTCTAAGTAAGATCAACCACAGCAAGAGCTTGAAAGTGGTGTGACAGCATCTTGAGTTAAGAGGGCCAGACTGCAGCCTTCTGAAGGACCATGAGGAGCGCTGGCATGGCGGCTGGGAGCAATGGAGATGCACAAAGCCCTGAGGAGAGGCTTCCTCCACTCCTCATGGTTTCAGCATTTTTCAGTTAGTTCTGGCAGCAGAGGGTACGAAACTGCAGGGACACGTAAAAATGAAACCAATCAGCCATATGTTTTTAAAAAGACAGTATAAACAGTGAGTGAAAACAAAAATAGCTTGCAACTCCCTTGAGGCTGAGGAGTCAACCTTTCAGTGCTGGCACCAAGGGAGAGCAGAGATGCTGGCTGGTATCCAGCCACCCCCATGTTGGGGGATGCAGACCCAGACAACAAGCCCTCAAGGCCCCAACACAAAGTCCCTGAGTGGCCCCAGTCCATTCCCACATGGGTGATGCCCACACAGCAGGGGCTGTGAGCCATGCTTTACCTGCTGCCATCTCACATAGCCTGCTCTGCTGGCCTGTAACCAGGGGCTCCAGTGGTGCTTTGGTCAACTTCTGGATGTGAGCACCTGCTGGAGTTGTAGGCGTCCCTGTTCAGTGCAGAGGAGTTGGACTAGATGGCCTTTAAGGTCCCTTCCAACTCAAACCATTATGATCGCATGGATGAAGACGTAGTGCTTTCCATCACGGACAGCCCAAGGCCATTGGTGTCAAACAACTGCATTTTTCATTACTCATGGCACAGTCTCTCCCAGCTGATCCCCTGCACTGCCCTGGCTGATGGGATGGAAAGGATGCACTCCCTTTCCTTTTTCTGCACTGAGCAACCTTGGGTAGGGAACATCTGCCACCTGGTAGGTGAATGTCAGGACTACAAAGGTCAGACCCAAGTCTAGAGAGCTAAGCTGCCCCTGTAAAAGAAGGATGTGAACTATGCTTGTGGGTTATGGCATGGTTGATCAGAAAGCACAGTGTTGGTGTTGGTATGAAGGAAACCCATGGCAAGGCACCCCACGGTGCTGCCAGGGACCAGCACATGCAGAGGATCAGGAAGCTGTCCATGGGAGGGAGAAAGTCCCAGTTATAGAAAAACAAGGAACCAACCTGTATATTTAGGAAAAAAAAAACCAAACAACTGGGTTTCAAACAGCTCCACAAACTCATCTCTCCAAAGGGACAGCCTGGCTCAGTGCTCCATCTCCTGCTGGCCTTTCCTCTTCGTCAAACATAGCATAAAACTCATAAGATTAAATAAATAATAAAAGGAAGATCTTGGTCACAGGGAGAAGGCTGTGGGGCACAGCTGGTACCAAATATTTTTCTGTGCCTGATGCATTGCTGGGAGTTGGGGCAGGTGCACTTAGAAAAACAGCTCATGTTTGTGCACTCGTAAGACTGTCATCAAGCTGTGTTTAGGACCCAGCGGGAAACTGAAACTCTTTTTATGGTGTTGAGGCCACTAATGTGTAAGCAAATCACATTTTATCTTGCTAATAACAGCAGAGCCTGGCCAGAGACTGCAGGCAGCTTTGGGTTAAAGTTAAACAACTCAAACTGTAATATCCATATAATGACTATAACATTCGCTAATGTCAAGGCAGCAAAAGGTGAGGAGAGGTCATGCATGGCTAAGGGCTGCACGGAGGTGGCTTGCAATGCATGCAAGTGCAGCCAATACCCCCCCAGCAACCCAGTTTAATCTACATGCTCAAAGGGCCTTGGTCAGTGCCTCTAACCTGGGAGCTCTGGGAAAAAACCTCCATTGCAAAAATCCTTTGCAACTGATCATGCCCCTGTGGGCTGCTAGAAGACATGTGGCTGTGGCTTGTGGCTGCACACATCCAGTCCAGCACTCAACAAACACAGCTGCCACTGGAAGGCATGGCAAATAAGGGACAACAGTTCCTCATCACCCTGCTAGGCTCTTCCCTGCTGGGTGGCTGTGTCCTGGGCTTGGATGTGCCTTTGGAATCCTTCAGGAACTGAGAGCCATCCTGAGCTTTTGCCTTTTCATCCCTCGGCCTCCGTGAGTCATTGGGAGCTGCTGATGTACTCAGGCTGGTTGGGCTCCTTTCTGGGTGTAATCTCTCCTTTGTTTTAGGCTGCCCATTGTTGCACAGCCCCGGATGTCTTGAGAAGATGCATGAGGATTGCTCTGCTGCTGGAGATCTGCTGATCCAGCAGATCAGCACATGTCATTCTTTTAACCCTTCCCACTGCTTTCCCTGCTGCTTTCACATGCAG